GAAAACAGAATTAAAGTATAAGTCTACTTGGTGTAAATAAAATGAGATCCATGCATAGCTTTTTCATGATAAGTATTTCCCATGAAGTTTCTGAAGACTCCTTGTATAAACACAAACAAAATAAGATTAAAAATACATACAACAAGCCAACAAGTAGAATGGAGGTCAAGGCTCCACGTTGTCAGCTGTGTGGTTCGAGTCCTCGCCCTTATAGCTTGAAAATCATGCCAGGTGTGTGTGTGTGTGTGCTCAAAATCCTGCGAGGAAAACAGGGGAGAGGAAGAGGGACTGTGAGGTGGCCAGTTGCCCTAGGGGATTTCTCGCCTCCTCTTTCTCTCTTTCACTGTCTCTCTCTGGCAAGTGCACGTGCCCTATAGCAGAAACAAAACAAACATAACAACACATGTGATAGATTGAAATATGCCAAAATGTTAACGATAGTTACAGATTTTTAAGGTTTACTTATTTCTCTCTTCTATGAGCGAGTGAGAAAGCCCTCCACAACACGGTCTTGATCCCTCCATCCCCCATCTTCTCCTGGCCGTCAGCCAGCCCTGAATCAAAGGCACTGCGCTCTGGCACACTCAGGAGCGTCTCCTGGCTTGAACTGGGAACCTTCCCATGTGGGATTGTTTCACAAAGCATCACTCTCTGGCCCCCTGATAAAAGTTAAGTTTTTGTGTAAGACTTCAGTTTTAGTTCGTTATCTTTTTCTGTGCTTTTTTCCTGTAATCAGATTGAGTTCTGCGATGAAAATAACAAACTATTTGTGTATGATCACCACAAATATTAAAAACAAAACAAAACAAAACAAAAAACTGGGCACATCAGATGACTTGGAGATCGGAAAATAAAAAATAAAAATTAGGGAAACTAATGAGGGCAATGTTTTAAGCCTTTCCCCATGGGGAAATGGGTGATTCCCAGGATGGAACATGCAAACTCAGGTATCAGGTAGGCTCAGCTTCAACTGCAGGGGAAGAGGGGACAGCCAGTCATGATTAATACTGTCAATCATGAGGAAAACCCTGGAGATACTATCATAAAGATATTTCTCTTTAAGACATTTTAAGATGAGAAAATTCAGGAAGAGTCATGTTTGCGTTTGGGTAGGATGACGCAGAATTCCCCACCTGGCACAACGTAAGCGTGTGTGTTTCTGGGTCTCAGACTCTATGCAGAGGACAGCATGTTGTGGGTATAGTGTGCTTTGCTCTGAGCTCAGTCAGGTGTTGTGAAACTGCGTAATGTTCTGTTTGGACGGCCCTATATATGTAGGAAAACGGTATAGCAAATCAAGACAAGAAGGAGCACAGAGCCTAATGAGGACTACTTCTGGACTGGGAAAGAGGAGTCCAGAGAAGAGGTCTGTCTCAGTGAGGGGCATATGGGTGGTTTAAACATTTTTAGTAAAATTCTACTTCTTAATCCAGGCAAGGGATTCTCAGGCACTTATTTGATAGTATTTTCTATGTTACATATAACATTATATTTTTGCATATATGAGTAATTCATAATACAAATGGAAAAACATCTCTTTACAAAAGTTAAGGTTGTTTGAAATCGAAAACTAATCAGAAGGAAAAAAAACTTTGCAACCTCAGATGCCCTCTAGTGGCCAAATAAAATAAGTGCAATTAATGTCTAACTCAAGATCTGCTCTTAACTTCACTTTCTAACAAACAGAAATAAACAGCAAAATGAAGTAGAATGACAGATTTTTACATTTAAATTCATATTACATTGTATGTTTTTACATTACATTTAAAAAATTCTGGCAGGCTGCTCTTCATTCTTTTTTGAAGAATGACCCCAAAGAATGTCTTAAATCTTTAGAAAGAAAGTTTCCTACAGTATTTCAAATACAAATATATATTTCCAAAGAGAAAAATGTTTTTTTGATTGATTAATATTTAAAAACTGGTCTTATCTCCATATTTTCCTTTAAAGTTTTTAAAATTACTATGCTAGTAGCAAATGCTTTCTTGCCGAAATTATAGACATATCAAACCGTGTGATGCTTTCCTCAGAACTCAGCACAACACAGTAGACTTTATATCCTGCATGTGAAAGTGATTTCTCCCCATAAATGCAAGTTTGTTTATTTCCTTTATTTCTGATAGAGCTCATGTATTCAGGACGGAGAGAGCAAGCACACCCTCCATAGGTTCTGGTCACACTGCAATCTCCGTCATCCAGCCCCCCAGCCTATCAGATCTTGGGCACCTCCCCATGCA